AAATAAAATAAAATCATCCTAGCGATGAGTAAGAAGTTTCGTGAAACTGGGTCAGTATTAAACCAGAATCAAAGAAAGTCAGGCCGAAAGCAAACCGTCTGTACGAATTAGAAGAGTTTTGGATAAAGTGCTTCAGTCTCTCCAGAAAACAAACGCCGAATATCTAAGGAATTTAATATCTCTCGAGGATGTGTTAGGCATATTATTCGAGACATTGGGGCATTTTCATACCGAGTTCAAGTCTTCCAAGCTCTTTCACCTAGAGATGAACGAATAAGATTAGAGTACTGTGCTCGTGTGCTGGGGCAACATTACGAAGATGATGATTTTCTGACGAACTGGTGGTGGACTGATGAACGTCACGATCTGTTAAGCATATGAATAAGCAGAACCAACGTTTTCTAGGATGGGAGAGGCCAGAGGTTTATGCTCAGAGATCACTGCATTCACAGAAAGTGAATGTTTGGATTGCAGCTTCCAACCATCAACATTACTCCGGAAAAAGTGCTCAACTATGCATACAGGCACTTGGACAGACCACTGAAGCATTTCGGACGTTGCAGAACTCAATACTTATCTGAAGCAAAAATAAAAATTTCAGTTTTTTTTTTTACTCACCCTAAACAATGTGACACAGTGGTCGTCAAAATTAACGTACCAGGGTTTTCTTTAAAGATAGGGAACCTATGCGGCTCAAACGTTTTGCATAGAACAGCTGCCCATGAGTGCTGATCCGCCTAAAAAAAATGGGTGACTCTAGTTCGTTACATCCCAGTTACGCAGCTTCTTTTCATCGGTGTGAGGAAAAACGCTACTTTCAGTGATGAATCGCTGCGAGATTGATTTCATGCCGCTCGTTCCTTGCGTCCGAAGCTTTCTTCTGCGCCATCGCATAGTACAAAATGATCTCAAAGCCAGCGAAGGCCGGTTGGCTTAAAATATATCGAGAGACGGGAATGGTGGAGGGAAAAAAGTGATCGCTCGGACTGTCAAACATCTGGGTAAGGTGGATGCTTGGGGTTGCCTCTATGCTGGAGGGATTGGGGAGATCTGCAGCTTCACCCAGAACCTGGATGCACATCTGCTGAAGACCATTTATGAGCCTGTCCTCTTGCCTTCTGCAGCAACTACGTTTCCCGATTCGATGAAGACTTGGGTGCTGCCGGAGGACAATGATCCAAAGCACACCTCAAAGCAGGCGACCAACTGGTGGGCTGAGAGTGGGGTGTTCCATATGGACTGGCCGTCGCAGTCTCCCGACCTCAACACCATAGAATATGTGTGGGCTCTCTTGAAGGTCAAGGTGGCGCATCGGCGCCCCAGAACGATCAAGACTTTAAGAACAGTAATTAAGGAGGAGTGGGAGAGTATGAGTGAAGAATTCGCCAAAAAAATTGGCAGACTCGATGCCGGACCGATTACGTGCTGTAGTCGAAGCGCAGGGCGATTATACTCTGTATTGAGATCAGGGCTCTGTGTACTTTCTGTTGATATAAAAGGTTTTCCTACATCTCTCGTTGAATAAGAGATAACCCTGGTACGTTAATTTTGACGCGTCCTGTATCATGGAGATATCTCCAAGATATCTTGTGATACCTTGGAGCCAAGGTCGGATGGCCGTACGCCGACTGAGAGGGTGGGATGGAGGCCATACTGTCTCAAATCCCTACTGTCCCGCGAGTCTTCATGAAGATGGAGTATAGTAGATTGGCTTCGTTGGACCAAGGCCAAGGCTACCTAATCCCCGAAAACACTTCTTTTGTCCTGTTATATCCCTTCTCTTCTTTTCTTCCTTTCCCCTACTCTCCCATTTGTGCAGTCTTTCTTTTCCCGGGATCCGAGGTCGCATCAGTCCCATTCTTTCTGTTTTACCCTTTCATGTCAGCTTTATGCTTTAGGCATAGGAAAAATATTCCATTTAGTTTTGTGGATTCCGCAAGGCTTAGGAATCACACAGTGCTTTGAAAGAATAGTTATACTTTGAATTAAAATGTAAATTTAAAATAAATGAGATCATGCAATTCCACAAGTTCGGCTAACAAGCAAGTCCTTATTTTCTTTCGCATGTTTCTCGACGCCCCTAAGCCACAGAGAGTTGTTCTCACTTAATGGAAACGAATTTTTATGAGGTGTGCATGCTTTGAGGCATCGGTTCTCAACCTGAGTGACGCGAGAAGTTGACAGGGACGCCATAAGTGTTAAGAGCTTTTGACCTGTCAACAAAGTAAGGCAAAAAAGCCGGGAGACTGCTATCTCTTAAAATTGGACACCAGGAGTACACAATGAGTCAGTTTTGATCCACATAGATTAATATTGCGTATTCCTGGTATACACTTTTACTAAAAGAGTGTCTATCTTGCAAATAACCTGTGTGAGATCTTTCCAAATGTTGAGCCGTAACTTGATTTTCTGCACAACCAGAGGCATGTATAGGCATCGCATTGACGTGAAATGCAAAAAAATAGGAAATTTAATCAAAATTTCAAATTTAGATGATGGTCTTGCTAAGTGGCAGATCAAAATAAACATTTTTCATAAATGAATGAATGGTCCTAGTTGGTCTAAATGTTATTTAGGCCTAATTTATTGTGCATTGAGGTCCGTGAAGGGGTGTCGCCAATATCTCCTGCCCGAAAAAATGTACCATTACCCTGAAAAGGTTGAAAACTGCTGCCTTAGGGTTTCCTTCATTCCTCGCTCATTCGCGCTCTGTATCTGTGGTTCTTGAAAAAAGATCAGCATGGAACTTTGAAAGATAGCAAGCTCTTCTGAAGCACAATGCTCTCACTTCTCGTTCCACACTGCTCACCGATAAAAAGTCTTAGGGTTCTTTCTTAGCATCGCTAGCCAGCCGTTCCTCTCGCTCCCGTCTCGCAGATCTAATTTCCCGCTTCAACTTCCGCGTGATCCTCCTTTATTTCTCATGGTCCGTGCTATCTCCCGTCCGCTTGTACGCATCCCATTTCCGCTTTTATCCNACGAAACCTTCCTCGGTTTGGCCTTACTCTTCGTACGCTTGATATTCCACGTGATCGCGCAGTGGTCCGAATCTCCCAAGTTATCATGTACCTTAACGTCTAGTGCCAGATCGCTTCATAAGAGACGTGCCAATCCGCGATGCTGCAGGAGTCGGAATGTCTTAAACGAGGTCGTAAATTATCCAGCGCGCGGGAACGACGGTTCGCCATCTGCACTGGAACGTTCCCATGGCATGCAAGCGGTTCGTCTGGCAGAGGCGCTATATGGCACACGGTTGGACTCTGGGAGCCCTGGATCTCTCACCCAGCCAATCAGCCGAAAAAACCTCACGGTGAATGCCTTCGGTTAGGGCCACGGAGAGCGCATCGAAGTGGTGCCTGGGAATGGAACAGGGTTCCCCGACCTGTCGCACCGGGGAATGCGGAGGCGAAAACAGACTTCTCTCCTCGCAGTCGCACGATCGCGAACGGGCACGCGCCACAAACTCGGTCTCACACGTCGAGTTAGAAACTCGACTCCAAAACGGCTGCTTTTCTGTCGAGTGCACGGACCATCGCGATCCATTTCGTGGCCAGTGCACGAACGATGTCGATTCCGTACGGTCGTCGAATGCAACCGGTGAAGACCGAAGACTAGATCGAGCCGGGAAGCGACCGCGTATATCACGGGATGAATGGCGACTCCAAGAGCCCCCTGCCCGTCGGTCTGTTACTTGCAGCACTCGTATCCGCGTGGAAGTGGTTCTGTGGAATCGCGTATCTTCTTTCGAGTTACGAGTACGATAATGACCTAACAGAACTGAGAGCGGAAATTATCGAGCGCACCGAGTAAAAATCGCTGGAAATATGAACGGTGGTGAAGAGTGGCGGTCCGCTACTCGCTCTTTCGTTACCAAACTTCCTTCTGATGGAGGATCCTCGCCTAAATCCTGCCGTTCGATCTTTTCTTTTGTCTATCTTTTTCTTCGATTCCTTATCCCCGGTTTCCATTGTTTTATACGCTTGACGTCTTCCTTTCCGCGAGGTTCTCGCGGCGGAAGCTCCTTAAAAAAGATTCCCGGGTCTAATCGGAGAGGGATCTTGACAACGATGAAGACGAATCGGAGGTGGGGAAATGGAGGAAGAAAAGACCCGCGTTCATCCCTTGCCAAACCCTACACTCGGCCACTCCATTTTTAGCGGTCCTCCTTTCTTTATAGCCCCACTCATAGTTCCTTCCTGTCCGTGTGTCTGTCTCACGTTTCGGTCGTCCGACGATAGCTAAAAAAAAAAAAAACCATCGACCGACCGCTAAAAATTGAAAGCAGATGGATACGGACAGGATACAAGCCGTTTTCGTTTTGACTAAATTCGCGCCAGAAACATTTTAACACTGTAATTTTTAACATCTGAAATTTGCTCACGGCGGGAAAGGCACGAGCACTTCATTGTCATCGGGATTATTTCTGTCGGCCCCTTTCAATTTCGAAAATTCGAAGGCCTTCCAGATGATTTTAGTCGACTCATTCGTGTCAGCAGCTCCCAATTGATTTCACTTGAATTGTCGGAAAGTCGACGGTCTCTCGAATGATCAAAGTCAACCCATACTAGAGACAGCACACTCTCCACCATCAGTCGATTCGTAGTCGACTCGACCATTTGATGCCAATTTTTGTCGAGTCCGGCAAATGTCCAGACATTGAAATATCTGTATTTAGGAATTTAAATTAAATTGTCATCTGGTCCGACGTGGAGCCAATTTTCTCCATTATACCATGGAAGAAGGAAAAATTAGTATTAGGAGTACTTGATATTAAAAAACATCTGCCTTTCTCAATCCATGCTGGACAATAAATGATGACGAAAAGTATTATTCTTGGGAATTTTCGCCATCATCTAATTCCTTTTGGACTACAGGCACGTCGTCGCTCTCCTATGTCGTTGGCACCACTCTCATCGCCATCATTAGCGGAAACGACTCGCGTTACTATTTAAACCCCCACCTGCCCCACACCTTCGATAAACACAAAACTTCGGCATGACTTAGCCTTCAGCATCGTCGCCCTCATTACAGTCGATGGGGAACTTGATGTACGTATTGTGGAGTATGATTCCTGCTGTGTTGCAACGATGCAACCCTGACGGACTCGTGCTACAAAAAAGTACAACCTAGATAGGAGAAGAAAAAGAAAACGAGAGGAAGACTGACCCCATCCGAGGAAATAGTAGAGCTTGTAACTCTGCGGGCGCTGGAAGAAGGCGACGGAGATGAGTTTATTCAGGTATAAGCCTTCGATGAACATCCACATGAACATGGCCGTCCTCGCGTACTCCAGCAGGATGTAAAACACCTCACACACGTACGGCTGTGGGGGTAAGAGATGGAAAGACTGATAATAATAATAAAAATATATCATTTAGGAAGGAAGAAACACGCATGCATGGAAATAAATGATTTTCTTGGGCCGGCCATGAATGATGAATTTCCCTGCTCCCTGCCCATTTTTCGTACGGACTTCTTTTTAACTGCACCTCCGTTTCCATCGCCTGAGACGAAAACCAGCCTCTTTAGTTCTTTCGTCTCGGGATTGAGAGGACCGAGACATGACATGTGCAGGAAAAAAAAAGAAGAAAAACATAATGGGAAGCTGTGTTAGTTTGCCAAGATATGCAGAAGCCGAAAGAACGAAAGGAAATGCCGGCACGAAGAATGGCAATTTGCCATGCATCCCAATGTCCCTAGCCACCGACACCGATCTCGGCCCCTTTTCTCTTATTCGTTTTGCTCTTCTTTCTTCTCGTCGCCTGACAAATCGATTTTCTCGGTTCCTCTTTGTCTTCGGCTCCGAGGATCGTATAGCCGTGATGAATGACTCCACCGACACTGATTGACCCTTTCCCCCTACCCCCTTCCCCCCCCCCCCCTCCACCCCCTCCGCAACAATCCGCTCCGTTCCCTTCTCTCTCGCCTCCTCTCCCCCCCCCCCCCCCCCCCCCCCCCCCCTCCACCCCCTCCGCAACAATCCGCTCCGTTCCCTTCTCTCTCGCCTCCTCGCGCATCCCATCCAGGTTCCTCATCTCATAAGTGCTCAGGATTCATGAGAGAGAGAGAGAGAGGGGGGGGGGGAGAAGAAAATGGAGAAGGCTTCTTTCCCCTTAAGTATTACTCCCTCGAGCCATGCGACACGTGTTATCCCAACTCGGTCATGATTGAGGTCCTCGACAGAGAAACCTCGTCGCGACAACACCACGAAATGGTTTCGCGGGGGAAATGAAGGAAGCGGACAACAGAATAAAGGAGATGAAAGCGAGAGCATTCCAAGTTTCCTCGTCGCCCGATCGACTTCATCCCGTGAGACCTAGCACGATATCGGTACGTACACCGATCGTCGACCCGGTACCTACTTCTCGATTTTTTTTCGTCTGCATGAATTCTCATCGTCGCATCGGAACGTCTCGAACGAGAACGACGACGGGAAAAGGAAACAGAATCGATCTCACGCGGTCGGAACGAGGATCGCCGATCGATCGATGGAGGACGAGCATGACACAGGCGATAAATCCTTATATATATATATATATATATATATAGGGCTCGGAACGAAAGGCTGGAGGCGGGCATGCCCTTCCGGTTCCGGCCCTAACTGGATCACCGGAAGTGGGGCCGATGAGAATCGAATTTACCCGTCTCGTATCCGGAGAAGAAGGAAAAATGAAGATCGAGAAATGGGGGAGGGAAGACGAGAGGCCAAGGGAAAAAACATTGCAGCTTCATACTGCAGACGATTCCCCACGAGACGGACTCGTAGTAGGTCTCTCTTCCCTTTTCTGCTTCGTTCATTCATCCGTTCCCTCCTTCGGCCGACCGATGGTACATCGATGTGGTCGAAGGAGATCGGCATCGACTCGCGTGGGGACCGTGGGGACCGCAGGATCGGTCCGGGTCGTTACCGACGACGAAGGAGCACTCGAGACACGAATGGAAGAAATGGACCAGCCGTGAATATTTGACGGCGTCCCGAGGAGGGATCTTTTGTCTTTCTCTTCGCGACGAGATCGATGATTCATCTACGCTCTCGTTCGACCTTACGCTTTCTCGGGCGCTCTCCCACGTATGAAAGCGCAATCGAATGCATCGGAGCGATACGGAGTGAACTAGAAACGTCACCCCGAGGTACATATTACTTGGTCCTCTCGTAGGTAGTTGCGACACGATGAGTGAAGTCGAGATGTTTACGAACGCAGTCGACGCGACAGAGCTTTGGTCCCGGCCAAGGCTCCAATAGATTGCTTCTCGTTCGTTCCTAGACATAACGACACCGGTTTTCAAAACTCAAGGAACGCGTTGAAAATCTGCGATATGACGAACGCCATGTGAATGTTGTGGATAAACTAGCCATAAATGTGTCGTTGGATGTCGGCCGTACGATCCCCGCAAACGATTGCGATCCGGAAGGCGAAATGGCGCGCCATCTCGATGGCTCTGTTCGATGGTTCCTTTCGCTCATTTTCGGCCATCTAGAAATGAACTATTTGCCATCCAAACGTGAACTGCGCTATCCCCTCTCAGAGTGCCGTCTTTAAAAGACATGTGATTTGCATATCAGCGGGCGATCTCCACCACGTTGCATCGCCGTCGGCAACGTAGCATCGTTGATTTACATACTCCTGTATGTTTCGACCATTTTCACGACGGGGATGTTGCGGAACTTGGGAAAATCTATTCATTCCTTAGATTTTGAAAACCAATGCATATAGTTAGGCGAGAATGATCGCGTTCTAAGACCAGATTCGAGAAATTTAAGTACGACACACTTGTAAAATTTTCACATCCGTCAGGGCATCGTTTTTCGATCGCGGTTCGCACATGATTTATATTAAGCTTTCAGTTTCGGGCACAGAACGACATAATTATCACCTGGCAATATGCCTCACATAAACCCTCTCCGTATGATGTAACCGGTGCAGTGTGCGTAGTAGTTCTAATATGTAGTTCGTGTCGGTTCCTTTTGATCGAGGTGAAGGCTTTTTTTTTAAGTGCTTAGTAATTAGTAGAAGAACGTAATCCATGTTGCTTTTCTTCGCATGAAGGAATCTGACACGTTAAAAGGCATCCGCGCGTGGAGCAGCCACTGCAGCTTCGCCTAACGCGTTCTGCTCGTAGCTACGTAACAAGCGAAACGGTGATTCCGGTGGTGGAGGGAGGTATAGATTCCGTCCCGTTCGCGATCTACTTCAACTGCATGTAACGAGCCGTCACTGGATTCTGCGACTGTCGCGAATTGGCGCCGACGCAACTGGACGACCTCCATCTCCGTCTGCTGATACCATCGAGATCGTCTTAAATGCGTAAATGCGTGCTCCCCATTCTCACCCTTCTCGATCGTTCCAGTGCGCCTAAACACCGTTCGGGCGAAAGTCCCCTTCCCTCCCTCATCGTTTCGGTAGCACGACTTCGAACCGTCTCCAACGGTACTAAATTCCGTTTCTTTGTAGGCCTTCAAAATCGAACACGATATCTTGCGCGAGTGCTGCCTGCAGCTCGACCCTTTCGATCCCGAATTTTAAAATGATGCAAAAGATATTTTCCTCATTCGACCGTCTACGAGGAAACGTGATCGACCGCAAAAATACAAATTCCAAAAGAGATCACAGTGACTCGGCAAGTCCCGCCAGGTCTCAAGGTCGGGCATTCTTATAAAGCCCCGCAAAATATACGAAAAATGCGGGACTCCTGAGTTTCGTCAGGACCGAAAGGGTTAAGAACAACATGCGAACTCTTCTCGGTAATTGGAAGCTGGATGAAGTCCAAGATCGTGTTAGATTCAACCGTCGACTGCGCGTGTGAGAAGAATTCCCTTAACTCTCCCCTCGTCCTCTTTCCTCGTGAGATGATGAAAACGATTAAAAGTTAAAAGACATTTTGATGATGATTCGCATTTTTTTTTAGAGATTCCAAATATGCTCTCTTAGGAAGAAAGGGCGAAAAGAGGAAGAATCGGGGACCGAACGCCTGCATGAACCCACTCGCACGCACGTCTGGAGTCGGTGACGAACGAGTGAGCGAAAGCATTCCGGCGAGGTGGACTCCACGAGCCGAAGACGCCTACGACGAGAAACCTCCCACGAGAATTCTGCACGAAAACGCTTTGCGCATGAAAGCGATTCGAGACCCGTGCTCGAGATCTTTTAAATGTAAATACGAGGGCGAGTCGGACGTTTTGACTCGTTTCTGATCGAAGCATCCGTCGCGTTCTCGCGTCCCAGCGTCTGACACCTGTCGGGCAGATCACCTGGCAAAGCTTCGATCACCCATCGAGCCCCATCGCATGGATGAGTGACGTGTCGACCGGTGACGCGACGTGGAAGACATAAATAGTGTCGCGATTACGAAATGCGAGCAACGTGCAACCGCGAAATCTTCGAAGAGCCCTTCGAAGGTGAGCTCCATTTTCGCGAACGAGACGACGACTTTCCGTTCGATCCCGAAACGAAGCCCAGGAGTTCCGTGTGGGAATCCCCCGTCGTCACCGCGATTCGAGCGGGTACCGCACGGTCGTGTGGATCGAGTCGTGCTCATCGTCTTCGACGAGGAGGGTATCGTTCCTCGCGAATGCGTTCTCGAGGGTCGAGCGGTTCGCGAACGGTTCTACGAGGAGGTGCCAAGACGTCTTCGTGCAGACGTCCGCTGGAGGCGACCGACGCCTCCGAGAACCGTCGAAAAGGTATCGCAACGTGACGATGCACCCGAGCACGCGTCACTCCCAATTACCGAATTTCCAGCCGAACGTTTGATGACCCCGGTGCCACATCCACGCGACTTCCCCCATCGAGCACCGTTTCGCTTTTTCCCATTTTCTCGCTCGAAACGCAAATCGAGGAAACTTCGCTTCGTCGTCTCGGACGAATCGAAAGGAGTCGCGACGGCACGACTCCCGAAACTTTCAAAGAAACCATCGTCCCCTTGCTTCCAGTTCTTGCAACGACCTCGGCAAAAGCGTATCGATGCATCGGGAGACGGCTCGGAATACATTTTGGAGTTAATTTGTCGAGATCATCGGGGTGAGGTTTAAGAAAAAAAGTCCTGTAAAAAAAAGAAGTGAACTTTGTCGACTCCCCTCGTAGGTCTTCGACCCGAATCGGATCTCAGCTCTAAGGATTTTGTGTCGCTTTCGAATACGAGTGTGTTACATCCTCTTTGCTATCCGATTCCACGTTCGCCTCAAACGGATCCTGGCGAAACGATTGCCGGAAATGAGTTCCCTGACCGATAGGTATAGAAATCGCGGACTTCGTATGGCCTGTACAGGTACCGGCTCATTCCTATACGACTCTCCCCGTCCCGACTCATTCATATACGACTCTCCCGTCCTGGCTTATTCACATAATTTACGACTCTTCCGTCTCATTCATATACGATTCTCTGGCCCTCTCAGAGCAAGGGGAAAAAATCCGCACGCTGCTCTTCTCGAAGGATACATCACTGGTTTACAGCAAGAGTTGTTTTAACTGGTATTTAAGTGAAAGTAAACCAGTTTAAGTGCAATCTCTTTCTCCATTTTCAACAGTAACTAACAATTTTTTCTCGATCCTCGAAGAAAATGCGCGAGAAGTGAAACCCAGAGTCACCGGAACACGCTAAGCTCTCTTTTATGCATCTGGAACACCCATAATCTCTTCAAGTACCCGAAGCATGTCGTAAGGATGTTGAAATGTGCGATCTGGGCCGATGATGGCCCCACCGACGGAAACCACATTCGAAAAGGCTTTCGAGTGCTATATCTCGAGACGATCGACTTATGGTAACTACCGAGAATATGAAAGTTATGAAATTTCGCCGAGGCGGTCGACAGCAGAAGACGGGGTATTATTTTACCACGACGAACGAAAACTGGCGGTCGAAAACCGTTACAGTACGAGGAATCGAGCCTTAAAAATACGCCCCAACTCACAGAACGTGAGAAAACGAAGTCGGTTCGGATGGTAAACGGCACTCGAGTGTGAGAAACCGGCACGAGTTATCTTTCCCGGCGGCTCCGTGCCTGCTCCATCATACATAGATTGTGGAAGATTCTCGCTCCTCGATTTCGAAGACCTCCATAAAATAGAGAGAGCGCATCCGAGTGGATGGCTTGCCATCCTGGAAAATCGGAGGAACCGCCTAGTTATCGTTACTTCACGGTCGAGACATCCCGTTCGGTGGGGGTGCTCGTATGGAAACGGATGACGTACCTCCCCGGAACACCAAGAGCGAAGGGGGGATCGCACACCGACGAGCAAAAATTCTACACCTATTCTTTTCGAAGGACATCCATGCCTCTTTTTCTGGGAAGTTTCTTCTGCGGTTAATTGTATTTTCTAAATCGACCGTGTACGTTATTTACTTTGGAAGCGCTCGACGACTGCCACGAAGAACATCATCGGGACGAGCCCAGGCACGATCCGTTCCGCGACCGCATCCGTGCCAAAGAGACCAGAGAGAGAAGAAAACGACGGCGATGCCCACTCACGGTGTTGTCGATGCCGTTCATCTCGTGCTTGATGCCGGAATGGATGCCGGTGTCGTCTTTCCTCACGATCACTTGGTCGATGTACAGCATCAATCGAATGAGGACCTGAATCAACATGGCGATGAACAGGTTCCCGTGGATTCGCGTTCGGTTGTTCCGGAGTTTCCTGCAACACCGACGGATTCCTTAACCGTCTCGTCTCCCTTCCGTCGGACGGCGACGAACGATTCCATTACCTGAAGTATTTGAAGATGGAGATGGAAAAGAGGAGTGTGATGAGGGAAACGAAGAGACCGACCATTTCCAAGATCCGAGATGCCTTCGCGATCTGCATCTTCATCTGTACGAAATAAATTCATGCTTCTTTCCGTTCCATCACTCATAAATGATCGAACGGCCGGAAGCCATGTCGCTTCAAAACACATTAGCACGATCCGGCGAGAGAGAGAGAGAGAGAGAGAGAGAGAAACGGTCGTGAGTCCTATCGGACTTCTAAGATTGTTCCTTCGAGGACGCATCAGGAATACGATCACGATTCAAATAAAAACGCAGCCACAATCAACCCCCAAAAAGTATCATAAACCTCGTATGGGCCTGTCATAAGTGTCGGGTGTGGCATCCAGAGTAATATGTTTCATATACAAAATGTATTTAACAATATTATAAATGAGGAATCGGCATTTCATGAAACATCATGTTAAAGTCACTTGCTGTAATGGTCATATTTCTGTTATACATAGCGAAACCTGTCGATATACCTGTAGTATTTTGTTCATTCTAAATATTAAATAAAAGCCTGAAATTAGTGCGAGTAATCCAAACATTACAGAACTTAAAAAGAAAGTTAAGCTTTTTTTTTACCATGTCAGATGTGACATGTTCCGGAAGTTTAAACGTGAAGCCTGTATATACTGTATCTTTTAATGTTTTTTTTTTTACATATAATTCAAATGTAAGCAATTGACACCTCTTCACACCTGAGCTGATTTGAAATGATCAATATGCATGGGAGAACTCATGCTGGTATCTGTTCCAGTAGTCCAATTCTTCAGTCTCTCCAGATTTGCATTTCCATCATATCCATGAATACCATGAAAATGGTATGAATAAAAAAAAAATATCAATTCTTTCACTTTAAAATAATCTCATTTGTTCCCGCCTTCAGAGAAAAGAGAAAACTTTTGTATATTCGCAAATTTAGTGAAATATTCTGCCACGAATCTTGAGACCCCTTGGCGTAGACAGACCCGTACGATACTCCCAGTGCCCACGACCATGGTCGTGGGCATTATTTACCAGCACAGCAAAGTAGAAACGTACAAGGAGAGGTAGAAATGTGAGAGGTACATATTGTGTCCCTCGGGTCTGCATGTGTGGTCCAGACGTACACGTGTGTACGTTGCTGACGCAGATGTCCGGGTTCTCAGTGCAGTACTCAAAGTAGGCATAAGATGGCGTTTATGCTCCCTCAAACTTTCGAACTCGAGTCAGGACTCACCAGACCTTAGGAGAAGAGTTTTCTTTTCACTGGCTCCAATAAAATTTAATGCAGATGCTATTCTGAATAAATAAATCAAATCCTAACCTGGCCATAGGGGGGGCGGTCGCCCCCCCCGCCCCCCCCCTGTATCCGCCACTGGTTGGACGCGGGAAAAGAAACGAGGGCGGAGGAAGAGGAAAGGAAGTTCGTGAAAAGGGGAAGACTTCGCACGCGACGAGAATCCAGGTGCATCCAGGTGCCTCCCCGAAGGAGTCTCGAAAAGAAAGGTAAGCTGTAATTCTGGAGAAGGGAATTGCATTCCTCGCGATTCCTCCTCGTCGTGACGGTGACGTCCGCAATCCAAGGGAAGGGAGAGTTGCGGACCTCCATCGGGAGGCTAACGGTTCACAGGCTTCCCGAACATCCATTTTCGTTAGATCCAGTCTCGATTTTTGGGTAGAAGGGTACGATCCCATCCGAATAAATGTTTATTTTCCTCGGGTTTCGTTCGCAAGAGTACATCAGGCTCTAAGGATGATCTCGGTCGGATTTTCGTTGGACGCAGTCCCCCGATACGGCCACGAGAGGCCGAGAAAAGCGAAAAGCGAAACGGACGGGACCGTACGTGATGTAGAACTCCGTCGAAAGATCTTCCTCTCCTCCCTCGGCGCCGTCGACGATGCAAGGATCGTTCCAAAGACTTCTACGCGATGGAACGTGAATTTTAACGCGTCGTGGATATCTTCACGACGGAAGCTCGACACGAGGACGGGATTCCGGATCGAGACGATCCGTACGAACGGGTCGGGAGATCCTCAGAAACTGCGGTGACGAAATGCGAGGACGAAGAGGAATGTCGATGCAGAGAGCGGAACGAACTCGCAGGGGTTTGCTCGGGGAGGCAGGAAGCTCCCCCGACTTCTGCGCGTCTTTCGGGAGCGAGTCTTAAGATCCCGGGGAAACGAGGAGGAACGCGGACGAGGCACCTCTAGGGGATCCCTAATTTCCGGCCTTCGGGGAACCCTCATCTCTCGAGGGAGAGACGTCGTACGGCCTCGGGTCTGGAACGTTTCCAAAAGCTTTCGATGCGGCGACGTAAAACGGCCCATTCCTTCGTCCGTGCACTTCCTCGTCGTCCGGGTGCGGAGACGGGACTCGGACGGAGACGTCGAGCGCATCGCGTCCTCCCGCTCCGACATCATCCACATCTCTCATCGCAGCCGGGAGACTTCACGGCGGTGGGAGCGAGTTCGAGGAGTACTGGCTAAAGAAGAACCGAACGTCATCGCGAGGAAGTCTCACGGACCTCCCTATTTCTTTCGTTCGTGCGAGATCGAAAGCACTCGGATGAAAACGGATATTTTTTCGAGGGGTGAGCCGATCCATACCGGTGCTCGGTCACGGCTCGGAATGCGAATACGGGCAGCGAAGTCGGTGCACGATCGTACGGAAACCTCGAGAGGGAAAGATCCTTTTATTTCGGCCGACCCGATTCCGCGCACGCATCGCGGGGGTGCAGGACGACAGGGTAACGCCTCGTTTCGCCTCCTCCGAATGCGAGCGAAACGTCTGGCCGGACCGAGCAAAACGGAACCGTCGACGAAGACGAGCCGTGACGTACCGCACGCGGTACGTTCCGGGGGCAAGGAGTCGCCTCGCGATGACGTCATCGCGGGAAAGGCAGCGGATAAAAAGACTTCATCTTCCTTCCGCGCCCTTTTGCGACTTCCTTTCGTCGCGAGTCGATCGATGCAGATGAAATTTTCTGGTCGGCTTTTCCTCTCGCCTCTCGTGTTAATTTGGCACCGGCGTTCGCGCGGATGCGACCGTACCGACGCTCCCAAAGACCAAAGAGTCTCTTGGAGCACGTTTCGAGGCATGCTTTCCGTCCGACACGGGCTCGGACTTCCTGCCGTCTCTCTCCGAGCTCCGGTCTCGACCGATTCCGTCCGTTCGTTCGGATCCGAAGAACGATCCTTCGAGGTCCGGGTCACCGTCGAGCTCCGCCTTCGATCGAGGGGGAAAAAGAGATCGCGGGTCGACGGTACTTCTCCTCGGTGCGTCCTTTCCTCGGCGATCGAGTCCCACGACGAGAGACGCGCCAAGAGAGTTTCTTCGTTCCCGCTTCCGACGGCAAATCGCCGCGAACGGAGAAAAAAGGCCGAGAGGGAAATCCATCGACGGCGATAGGGCGGTGCCTATTTTTGGATCTCGTTACGAGCGGAGAGACAAACACGGGAGGGCAGTAGCCATCGGAAAGGAGGGAATATTTGCAGAAGCTAGAGGCAGCCGAAGCGATCGAGCCGAGAGACGACTTTCCGACGAGTCGCATCCATTCGATGATCCGTACGCGATCCCGATCCCGAATCGGGTCGAAGGAGAGGAGGAACGATAAGCCCGTCGAGAAACACCGGCATGCGTGTTTCAGCCGATGATCCGTTTCCACTAAATCGGGTTTCGTTCTATCCTCGAGGTCCGTATGGAAATCCAACGCGTCGCCTTCCGCGAGCGGCGCAATTCTGGGCCATCGTAAAGCGAATGATAACACGTGAAACTTTTTTCGCATCTCGATGATCGCGAACGCGAGCGGATTTTGTACGCCACCCCCGAAGCGAAAAGTAGTCCAACGAATTCGGACGCGATCGATACTCGTGGATCCGGTTCTTACCACGAAAACACTATAGGGAGCGTGGAAATGAGCGCTATGGCATGAAAACCCCATGTGACTGCAGCTTCACTTCATTCGTACATCACGAAGACAAACAAGTCATTCTGTATTTTCTAATATCTTTGCGAGACGAACTCTCACGATCACGTTCTTCTGTTACTGGGGGCATCGTTTCGCCCCTCTCTCTCTCTCTCTCTCTCTAAAAAAAAAAATACTTATCCAATGAAGCAATGATGAGGACATAGACCTCGGAGGATAGAGCTCCCAATCAAATAACGATCGGATGTGATTCGTTCCCCTCGGTCTATAGACCCTGCAGACTGAATAGGGGTATCAAAATTAGAAGTTAGGCAGGGGCTTTCGGATGAATCGGAGATCGTTTCAAATCGTTCGTGTGAAAGAGAGATCCGGCATCTGGAAATTACGAACGACGATGCCATCGAGATGGAAGAACTTCTCACGCCTCCGTGATTACATGCGGTATACCACACGGGGATCGTTCCTCCTCCGTGGAAGAGGAATGACCCCTACGCGTCGGCGTGGAACCACCTCTTGGATGGACCTTCCGGTGGCCTCACCTCGTCGCGCCTGGACTCCAAGGACGCCTACCTGTGCCTGTTCGGGAGTTCCAGAGTAGAGTTGTTCGAGGAGTTGCTTCGCCTCGGGGACGAAGCAGGCGGTGTAATTGGTCCAGCCGTTCGGACGGGTCTTGTCTTCGACGCCTTTACCCATCCACGTCCCGTCCGAGAGACACACTCGGAAGGCGTGCCCTGGTCGAGACGGAAGCGAAAGGGGTCGCGTCGATGCCACCGAGGGGAGGATCGATGGACGGAAAGGGTCGACTCACGGGAATAGTCGCTTCCTCGGGCGGGAGGGCAGGGTTGTTGGACGACGGAATCCGCCGGCGTCGGCGCCCAACACGACACCTGATCCCACGTCGCATTGCAGTACCTCTCGTCTGCAACGGTATAACACGTACACGCTCGTCGACTCGATGGCAGATTCGATAAATTCATGCATTCGACCGAAAAGTCGCGGGACGACGTCAGGAGCGTGCACGACTCGGGGCGCAACCGATCCATCGACCGAGAAGAGCCGAACTCGACTCGCATGCATTTCGAGAGCAGCGAACGTATCGACTCTGGAAGAATCTTCGCGATCGGGGAAGGTAGTATGACATTCTTTTTTATTTAGGTGAGAAAGTATCGACGCATGAGGACCGCCTAGGCCGACAGACGTAGCTAGGGGCAAAAGCGCGTCGAGTGGGAAGGTTCGGTTTGCTCCTTCTTCCTTCCGCTAGCCTTCTCCCCTTTTCAGCTTCGTGGAAGCATTCCCCGCCTCCGTGCGGTAGGGCACCCAAGCACTCGTACATGAGCACAGGACAACACCCCCGTTCGCTGCCTTACCAAGACCTTACCAAGCTGAACATTTCGGGCAATGGGAAAAAAGTATATTTAAAAATATGTACAAAATTTCTCAATTAAAAATATTTAAAAAGGAAACAAAATGAACAAAAATTATTTATAAAAAAAAAAACAAAATAAAAAAGGGTTCCTCGACCGCAAAAAAAATCGGAATGAAAACTCCAAAAATAAAATAAATAAATAAAACCTAGAACACCACATTATACAATGACCGTGTATATTGTTAATTCTTGAGTTCCCCATGAGACCCTTGGCCCGACGACACCACCTGGTAGCTGGCCGCGGACCGACTCGACCGTATGAATCCTCTGCCCTCCTACAGCGACCCGCACGCTTCGGTCGACATCTGCACCGGTTCGACTATTTCTCTTCGCTCTTCTATGTATATACAACCTCACCACACTCGATCCTTTTGTAAAGGGAATGCTTCGTAAATAAAGGTCATCGACTGTGAAAAAAAAACGTTCGCAACCTCGGCGCTGTCAGTACGACGCGAGGGAAGGAATCTCCAAGCACCACATAGAGCTTCGAGGAAGTCTCCATCGATCGTCTCCACGAACGTGGAATCATCTTCCGGATTGCGTCCCGAGAGATCCCGGCCCGACCGGCGGGAGTTTCCATCGACTCGATCGACAAAATATGGCCTCTTCGGCCTCGCTTCCCGTCGGTACGCCATCGAAACGAATCTAAACGATGGTCTTCGATACGAAGCTTTGGAGTTCGACGCAGGTCCATCGGGATCCACACGAGTCCGATACGACGTGCCGCTTTGAGGTGAAAGATGAAGTTCGCGATGAAGTTTGCGATCGTCGGTGGAGACCGTTCCTCTATTTCTTCCCATCGTAAAGTTTTCTCGTAAAGTTTTCTCGCGAGACGTTCGGGTTTTCTAACGTCCATTCTATTCTGACCACGGGCCGATACACGGGATGGCAACAAAAGCGGTATCTCCNATTCCTTTACCAACAGGACATAAAACGTGTAATTTCCCCTCCCCCCCCCCCCCCCCCCTCCACCCTCCCCTTAACCTAGTTATCGTCTCTCCGAAGTCTATCGGTAATTATGGATGTCCACTTTTTTCACTTGCCATAATCGGTACCTCGTTTTTCTCGACGACTTTCGAACTCGGTGTTCTCGTTTCGGATGTTGCAGCTCGTCGATACGATACGTCGGATCGCGTGCCGACGGAGCAGATCGGAACCGAGAACGGTGGAATCGATGGTTCCCCGATGAACCGGACGAAGAAGCCACGAAGGATCTCTCAAACGGAAGCCGGACTGCCGGCGATATTCTCATGGGTGATGGAGAACTCTTTCGTGAAGCGTTCCGTTGCGACCGTTTTAGATTTCGTTACTTAATGAACGTACGATCTTCTGGGGAAAAAAGATATCAAATTCATAGAATATTTGGGGGGGGGGGGGGAAACAGCAAGGCGTCAGCAAGAAGTTGTGAAATTTGAGTTAAAAATGGAAAATAAATTTTCTCCCTAGTCTCACGACCGATCGCAAGAGGTGGACACCGCTTTTGCACGATCGTTCGAAGCCGAACGAGTATTCTCCCTCGCTCGAAAAAGTACCGTTACGTATCCACGGCACACGTGCACGACGAAGCACTGATTACATTCTAAAAACGAAGTCATTCCATCGCGACGAGCAGAGTAAAGGCAAACGATAACGGGTGGCCTGCCCCTTCGATTCGCCGGGATCGTGACATGCCAGCAACCCGCACTGCGATCGTCACGGTCCTCGTTTCGTAGAAGATAGGCCGACGCGATCGGGGCACCGAGCGTCCCCGAGCCCATTCCAACACCCGAGAGATGAGTTAAGGTAGCTCGGGGCCCGTAGGTTAAACTTCCCCCGTCTATCCGACTTTCCAATGCCATCAATTTTGAAGCTTCGCGTTTCCAGGTACGGCCTTCTCGAGAGCGTGCGTGTCGCTCCGAGTCCCGGAGGAATCCGAGGAGGTGAGGTAGGGAGGAAGGGAAGAAGGGAGGAAGGGAGGAAGGGAGGAAGGGAGGAAGGGAGGAAGGGAGGAAGGGCGGAAGGTAGAAAGAGTCATCTATCATTGAAATGCGTGGCTCTGTCTCTTTCTTTCTCCTTTCGTTTCTCATCCATTTATCATGTCCGGTCCCTCGCCTCTTCGCGGTCAGAACGTCGATAAACAATCACACTCTCTTTCGCCGAGGGAAAACGTTCCATGGCGAAATTTACACGGTTACCACCCAGCAAACAAGGCTACGTCGGACCGACGTCGTATCGACACTCCGAACGTTCACGATGTCGATTCGACGTTATGCGTTTCAAATCGTTTGCTGGGTATACTTTCATTTACCGAAAAATGAGACCGAGCAGTTAGGAAAATAATAATAATCGGAGGGGTGGAGACGCAGCAGGCGGGAAGATTTTTCTATCCATTTTTCATCGATCGCCTCGTCGAAACCCCTACAGGGTTCTGATCGAAGGAGACGAGATGACTTTCCAACGATATCGATTTCGTCGCGAATGCCGCAGCACGGACTCTCGAGAAACGAAAGAGGAAAGAGAGGGTTATAGCCATCGAAGAAGCTCGGGGGAGCCGTCGGGGTTTTTTTACGGAACGGAATACGATATTATCTTTTTCCCACGATCCCTTCGGATGACGTCGCTCGACGCGAGTGAATCCAGTCCCTTTCCTCTCGGACGGATCGTCCGCTTCCGAAGCACACATCGACCGACCGACGAATACTTCTCTCGACCCGCGTGTCGCCGAGGAAAGTTCCACCTCGTCCGAGATCTACCGATCGATCTTCCGTCGGTCATTTCGGACCGAGAGACTTTTTCTCTTTCGAGTGGCCTCTCGAAGGGTACGAGGCAGACGTGTCGGAACCACCGGACTCGAGATCTCCCGATCCGGAAGAGAATCGGCCGCTCGACCTCGTCGTTCTCGCTGCATCGTGCGACACCGACACCGTTCACCGACACCGACACCGACACCGACACCGTTCACCGAGTTCTCGAGTTCTCCCCACGATTTCCGACGAAGCACACGGTCGTGCGCCTTTTCGAGGTCCACCGAGCACACGCGAACCTGATCGACATCTCCCCGTGCCTTTAAAGGATACGGTATAGTGTAAAGAGCCGTTCACTGCTCTCGTCGGATGGTTTCGTCCGATTGCCCGAATCGTCTCGGTTTCTACCTCGCCCGTTTTAGCAACGCGTGCGGCTCTCCACCCCGTTCCGAGCTCGGTCCACCGATTTCTATTTCGGGTCGTCATCGCATCTCGGCGCAGACCGAGCGGACGAAACGAGGTTTTCCTGAGTTTTCGAGTCGCGTCTGTGACAAAAATTGCCGCTAACGCTTCGCAGCAGTTTGCGACTCGTCACACAGGGTTTCCATTAAGGTATGACTAAAAAATCATCTGTCACGATTCGTTAGAAAAATACTTTATCGCCATGAAACCCGTGTTTCCCGTGCTAACTCACGACCTGTACATTTTTGTGGTAACGTCTTTTGTCGGAAATATTCGTGTCATTCTTCCCCATGTCTACTGTCTCGCCGATGACAGAAATTGCCAGCTTTACCGAGTGCCGCCCAAGCGTTCGCTAATATTCCTGCTTGAGACTGGCGAATGCTTCCCATATGCTTCCCTTGTGTCTGTCGCATCACACAGTCTCTCGGCATACACCCGTTCTTTCGTATCCTCTCGAATTCCACGTCCAGATTTATGGAAATTCGAGTTTTTTCTGTAGTATCTTCTGCTCGTTCGTCCGAGTAGAATAACCAGCCTTCGATCGATTTCCACATTCCAAGGAAATCGTAGAAACCATCACACCCGAATTTGAAAAAGCCATTCGACCCTGGATCGTGGGACGAAGTCGAGTGATGTCTCCACGGGCCTCGAGAGGCCCATATCATATTCCGGATTCCCAAAACTGCACTTGCAAGATGCACCTCTTCCCTCTTTCTCGAGGTCGGCTTCTGGCCGAAGTTCACTTCGAGAGAGAGGAAAGAGGTGTTTCAGGCATCGGTGCAGGTGAAGATGGAGAGACGGCAGAAACAAAATACCCTCGTAGTTCGACGAGCCGGTTTTCCTCGTCTCAAACGTTCATGGCGTGGAGCCAATGAGTAATTGGAAGCGTTGGTCCGAGGCAGAGAAAGATTACATCGAGATTCCAAGCCCTGCAAGTCCTCCAAGCCCTGCAAGCCCTGCAAGCCCTCTCGTCGTGGAAGCGTAGAACTCCGAGACGGGTGGCATGGATCTTGCCGATAGGATGATCAGTTACCATCGAATCGATGCCAATAGCAACGAATGGACCGTACGAACGATCTTTCGTTCATTTGACCTCTCTGCATGAAACTCCTGGATCGAATATCGAAGAGACTTTACGATATGAGGAGTGCATGCAACAAAATTCATCCAGTTCGAGAAGCTTCCAGCGCAACTTTCGACAGATGCGGAAGAAGAACCTGCCCACTTCGTACAACGACGTCGTGTCGACATCGATGAAAGGCCGAAACGTTGAAACGTGAGACATGGTCGAGAAATCCACATTTAATTAGGTTCTACCGATCGGCGCTTGATGGCGCCTAAGTGCCGATTCAGCGATTCACACCTTGGTGCGATCGGAATGGGTCCCCCGTATTTCTCACTCGGTACCCGATCTTTTCCCACGTACAACTTAAGAGAAGGCTTTGGAATTCCTTGATGAACCCGTTTAAGGAGGTAACCCGGCAGAATGAGACTCCGAGTACTGCTGGCCAAGGAGTCCGAGGAGACGTGCTGGAATTCCTAAGTCTTTACGTGGCGATTATGACGAATCACGAGTTCGTATCTTTTCCGAGAAGGTCAGAACGTGAAAATTGTACTAGCGAGAATGTGCTTCGCTCCTCACCCAAGTCTAGGAATCATGCCAATGGTGTGTTTCCTCTGCCGGTCAGGAAGAATCGTGTCGCTCGAGTACTCGACTCGAATTCTCATCCGATAACGGAAATACAGCCTCGGCAGGACTCCTTCGGGATGTTAGTACTCGAGAGAGTATAAGATTCCACCTGGAGATATTTCCTCGGCTTTCCGGAGGGATCCCTCCGTTGGATGACAGTATTTAATAAAGTACCATCGATCATCTAATATACATCGCAACTCCCTTCATCTCATCGATATGAGCGCTCGTTCCGACTCGGGAAAGGGAAGAGGTACTGTAATTCCCAAACGTTGAAGATTCGACCACGGCACAACCTATTTTCAATGTCGAACTGTGTTTCGTTTCGACATTGCTTCGACATCGATGCATGCATCCTTTTGCACATCGAGGCAACATCGTTACGTTGAAAAATCGACCTTTGCTCGACCTCGACACGACGTTGCTGTGCCGAACGGATGTGATTCCGAGCACAAGTGCAGATGATGGAAAAATAAATGGATATGGAGGAAATACTGGAAGCATCAAGAAGGCCCCCGAAAACCATTACCGAGTCCTTCAAAGAGTGCAAGGGATGCAAGGGGGGCAAGGGGTGCAAGGGATGCAAGGGGGGCGTAGCATTTGCCCATTGCTCGTGACAGTCGTGCAATTAATCAGCGATGACGAAGTCCGAAATGCAAGAGAAAGACGAGAGCGAAGCGTGAAAAGTGTGATTGTTACTTATGCCTGAAAGCCGAGAGAAAACTGCTTCAGAGTGCCGACTCGGATCCGAGTCCAAATTCGGGACAGGATCGGGTAGGGAAGTCACCCAGTCGACCCAACACTACTAAGCATGTAACCTTCGAGTAACCGGCACGAAAGGTCAGAGAACTAACAATTTTCTACCCATTTAAATGAAAGCTACTCCAAACGTTACGGAGAGAAGGTCATCCAAAAGTTACGTCTTCGTAAAGTTGCCTTTGTCGCATTTGGAAATTTCGAATCGTATATTAAAAGTTATGGCAGTTCGAGTGGCACCGGAACGTATCATGAATAAGAAACGAACGTTTCGTTTAGGGTATTGTTAACGTTCCACGAACGTCCTTTGGAATTAGGGATTATTACCTTCCCTCGTGTAGGACGATGGCATTCCCATCTCTCCGTGCAAATTAAAAACCCCTCACAGGAGTAGAACTCTTCCTGTTACTTCGGTCAAGTATCAGTTCTTTCCCTGATCCGGATTTACGCGAAGTGATGAAGTCGGAGAATAGAAAATTCCATCGCATCTGAGTATATTACCGTTTGCATGATGTAAAACACGCAGTGAATTCCCATCTTTGAAAGCGACGATATGCATCACGATCGGATGTCCTTTTGGATGGACCTAAGAAGTGGAACCGTCCTCGGAAGAACCTCCGAGCCGGAAGCTTTCCGGAGACTCCTTCCGCCGAGTTACTTCTCGAGAACCGATTCGTCGAAGGATCGGAACGCGTTTCCTCGTCGTGGCCGAGTGGAAAGATCGGGCAGGGTGTGGGAAACATCGGGGACCGATTCCAGCCCCATCGGATATCGACTCGCCGTAGCGGCTGCTTCGGCGTCGTCCGGCTTCGGTCGTGAGAATCTTCGTTCGAGCCACTGCCAGACGGATCGCAGAGACGCGCTCGAAGAAAACCTCATTTTAACGTTCGATGAACGTTCCACGTGACGTATCGGTGACGAGACGGCACCTTAACCGAGCGCCCAAAAACTGCTCATCCGTGAGCGTTGGACGTCCCAAACCTCTTCGAAACACGGTTCGAACGTTCTCGCGTGCACTTGGGAGCCCGAGTCGGTCGTGCAGGCAGTCGCGAGCACTTAATTATCATCCCTCCATTCCGTTTTTTGACCGATGAAAAAACCGTCACCCAAGACGGTAGCAAGGCAACATCTCTTTTCGACCTCGAAAAAAAAAAAAACCTGTCGACCTGGCGCACCTTTCGAACCACAGACTCGATGTACACTTCATCGAGACCTTTTCGTACAGCACTCTACAGATAGGTGACACGGCATCGAGGGAAATCATTCGACTCGCCCGATTAATAAGAGATTAATCATGAAATTTGCTCGAGAGACCAGGCTCATTTGTGCAAGTAGCGTTTCACGTGAGCATAACCATCATCATAAATGTCTCGAATTCTACGAAAGTTACGACGATCTGGTAACTTTCTAGTGACTTTTGCATCGATGGGTCCAGAAGACGATGAAGGTTACGAGCCACTGACGACTCCGAAGGACCGTTTACCTTCGAGAGTCGCTTCTAAATGAACGTCACACGAGAGTTAAACGTTTGAGAGCGAACCCGTAACCGATCGATACCTCGTGACGCTCGCATGTTCGAATCCCGAGTGCGTCGTTCGTACGCGTGGCGCCGGATTCGTACCCGACCCGTTAGAAACCACTTGCACGCGAGCGAGGAGTCGATCGTGGGAAGACCCGACGCCGTCCCGTCTCTGCATGCACGATGCGAAGAAGAGGCGTACCGAATCCGAAAGTGATGTTGGCGTAGAAGGCCTCACACTCTTCTTGACTGCTGAACATCCAGGGGATGGCTCCGAGACCGGGATACACGTTCGACGTCCAATTCGATCCTCCTCCCTCCTCTCCCCCACTCATCTACAAAATACGGGGGGAAAGAAAGCGTGAGATCCCGGAACCCCATCGTCCACCGCATCGGATCGCGAGCGGAATGCACGGAAGGGAACTCGGACTCGAGGACGTCGGCGTGAGGATCGTGGATCTCTCGTCCGGCGAGAAGAGAACGAGAAAGGTCGAAGCGAGGCGGCACGCTCGAAGGAAAAGGAAAAGCAGGCTTCTCGTGCGATCCCGACGCGTTTCGGCCTCCCTGCTTCGACCCGAAACGATGTCGCGTCGATACCGCTTCCGACTTCCCGAAATTTTTTTTAAACTGGAAGTCGCACGTGCGACGAACCAAATTTCGATATTTGGTTCTCCGACGATTTCGTCCGGAATAAATGATAAAATAAAAGAGAGATTCGGAGAGCGATATAGGGTGAACGCCCCGGCATTTGGCCACGCCGATACTTCCTCCCGTGGTTTGTGGACGGCCGAGTCAGGAAGCCACGTCCTCGTCGCGTGCTCGGCGAGGGACACCTTGCCTCCGAGTCGTCGCGGTCGTCCCACGGGGTGGAGACGACGTCCGGAAACGCATCGCAAGATGACGGCCACTTTTTTTTCGGACGAATCTGTACGAAAACTCTCGCGACGTCACCGTCGAATGCAGAACGTACAGAATATATGGAACACCCGTAGGATGTCATAAATGATCGCGATATTTAAAATGATATTTTAATGATATTTAAAATGTGAACGATGTATTTAAATGGATGGAGACTTTGCGTCCACCCCGTACGGTAGATCCACGGTACGTCGGACCGGCGTCGCCCCGTCTTCCGGCCCGCTTCGCCATCGCTCCCTCTCCCTTCCTCGATGGAGTTCGTCGTTCGACCCTTCCCTCGACGAGGGGTGTCCCGACGGTACCCGCGTCGACACTCCTTTTTCGAAAACGACATTCGCGAAACGTTCGTCTGCGTCTTTCTCCGATCGAGCCGTCGAGACGTGCGATTTCGACGTCACCGGCGCGAAAACGATCCCGTCGGACTCGGGTGCTCCGAGCGACACCCCTCGGTGAAAAGCGATCACCGAAGACCTCGGCGACGGAAGGGTTCGTCGCTTCTCTGCACTCCCTTTTTGCTCCCGTTTCCTCCCGAACGTAAAAGGTGGCGATTTCGTCGACGCGGACGGTGCGAGACGGAGCGGAACGCACGAGAACGATAGGAGGCGCTCGAGCGACCGAGGATGTCTCCCGAACGAGAGAAGGAGGCGACGGGATCGGCCCGAACTCGACTCGTTGGCGCAAAAAACCATCAGGGGGGACGGGGAAAGAAATCGGAGTCGATCCATTATCGAAGAAGGGAGTCCGAAGAAGAAAGAAGACGGCTCGTGGTTTGCGACCGTCGCCGATCGATGGGAGAGACGGACGGACGCGAGTGCAAATGCTTTCACTCTCCTTCGCGCTTCCGGATGGGACGGAAGGGCGGAAGGACGGAAGGACGGAAGGACGGAAGGACGGAAGGACGGAAGGACGGAAGGACGGAAGGACGGAAGGACGGAAGGACGGAAGGACGGAAGGACGGGCGACGTTTCGAGGAATCGCGCCGAGAGAAAATGTCGACCGTGGATGGCTCGGCAGAATCTCGGCGGGACGAACCTCGACGTCGGAAACGATCGGTAACATCGACGGACGGACGGGATCCCGAACTTTCCAACCTCCTCTTTTCGCTCTCTCTCCCGGGAACGCTCGATCTTCGAGACGGAACTCTCCCTCGCGCTCGCGTCCCCGAGGGATCGGGGATTCCCGCCGTTCCCGGTGACCCCGGATTCCCTTACCGTTCCCTTTCGCGGAACGAGGCGTTCCCGGCTCGCCGAACTCCCGAGATCGCACGACGACGGACGCGAACGGAAGCGTCCGTACCGGAAGAGGTCGCGGTCGTTCCTTGCAGACTCCGGATCGCGAAACGAAAGAGGAACCGGAGAGGACTCGATCCTGATTCCGATTCCGGCCGAAACGTCCACGGACGAAGGAGCTTCGAACGTCGAACGTGCGAAACGTCCAGGAAAAGGATGCCACTCGTGCCTTCGTTTTCCCCTCCGTGCAGCCGAATCGAAAGAAAACCGCTAACATATTTCGGGAAAAAAATGAAACCGGTGGAGGCTCGTGATCCGTAGCAGCCGGTGAATGGCGGCAGAGTGGAGAGCCGGGTGGGGAACCGTATGAGGAGCCGGGTGGGGAGCCGGGTGTGGAACCGGGTGGGGAGCCGGGTGGGGAGGCCTACCTCGTCGAGCCGGCGGATCACGAACTGCCGCTGAACGTAACGATATTTTAGCGAACGGGAGAGTTTCTCCAGGCAATCGCTCGGCCTCTCGTCGACTTCGGTCGAGTAAAACGACCCGATCCTGAAAATTTCCACACGGATCGGGTGAGAATCGTGGATCCAGAATCACGATTTGGAAAATTCCGTCGAGAAAATGGGGAAGCTTTGGAAATTTTCACATCGCAGTCCGTTTCGACCGCGACATCGACACGCGGGTACGTACGGTGCCGACCGAGCGAATGCGGAAAGAGGCAGAAGCCAGAAAAAAATCCGTCTATCGACATTTCAACGAGCGAAATCTTCGAGCCGCTTTCATCCGATGAGAATTTCGCCGATCGAAAGCGAACTCATTTTTTTGCCTCTTTCCCGCGAGGAAATCGAGGTTCTTTTTTTTCCCACTCTCGAAGACTCGGATCGATGCGAGATCGCAGAAGTTGATCCCTTCGGGAGTGCCTTTTTATTCTTTGAGAAAAAAATATGGAAACGACGAATCGGACCTTCCCGCGAACGGCGAGATCACGGATTCATTTTTCCAGTCGCTCGCATTCGACGAGTTTGCGTCTGGGCTGGGCGAGGGGTGGCAGGTCGAGGGGGTCACGGGTCTCCGGGACTGGTGGGGGGAGAGTCACGGGGGTATCCAGCCCGCCGAGAGAAGCGTTTTGCATCTTTTCGCCTCGAACGAGGACGATTCGTCCTCGGACGGGGCGAGGGAAAGCGAAAGGTGACGTTCCGTCGGAACGGAAAGGCGTCGGGTGCGTTCCGTCTCGAGGGTTCCGAGGGTTCCGAGGGTCTCTCGCGACGGCGAGAGGGGATATCGTACCCGAGGGATCTCGCGAAATCGGATGCGGATCGAAACGATGCCAACCGGATGCGACGAGAGAGACGAGAGAAGCAGTTCTCGGAAGGATCCTTGGGATGATTTCGCATCGAGGCGAGTGCGAAGGAAAGGATTTCGCGGAATCCCGACTCTGCTCCTATAGGTACTCCGGACCGGAGGAACGCGACGATCCCGACGACGTCCGTGCCGTTCGTATCATCGTTCGATCGATCTCCGAGGTCACCCGACTCCGTGGCGACCGGTCGCACCTTCCACCGCGTCGACGTGTCGTTCCTCCCCCGCGAGAAGGGGAAGCGAAGGAAAAGAAGAAAGTCTCGAGACTCGGTCGTCGTCGACCCAAGGGCTTCCATTTTCGATCCACCGTTCTCCACCGTCTTCTCGCTCTTCTCGCGAGAAGACGGATGCCTTTCGTGGCGACAGGCAATATCTCGTCTTATTTGTCGATTAAACACGGCTTCGAGGACTTTTTTTTTTTCAACGTGCTGACAAAGTGTGTGCCGAAGGGGTATTAAAATCGAAAGGAATGCAGCGACGAAGGAGTCCGGAGTCCTGCGTACCGAACGCCTCGTCCCGAGACCCGAGTCCTTCGTCCCTTCGTCCCTTCGTCCCCCTTCTTCCCTTCGTCCATCTCTCGGGAGCCCAGAGGATCGAGGTCTGCCGACCCTTCTCTCGAACGTCCGCCGGGAGATGGACTCGGAGGAGATTGGAAAATTCGCTAGGCGTTCGTCTCGATCTCTCGACCCCTTCCTTAGACCCTTAGGCATCGCATCGGAAGCTACGTTTCGTCGACGGACGGTACGAGAGATCGGGAATCGCCACGAGAAGGCATCCGTCTCCTCGCGAGAAGGGTGCGAACGGCGGATCGCAACCGGAAGGGCCGAAGGCGTTTTCGCATCTTCGTCACCCCTCGCACTCGTCGCGTCGCGCGGCCGAATGCACGCCGCGTTCGTTCCCTCGATCTTCGACGCGACGTCCTCGTCTTCGAGGGGCTCTCGCGAGTCCCGACCTCTCGATCTGCGACCGCGCGAAATCCGTCCGGCTCTCGTCGCGATCGAAGCGAACCCCACGCACCTCGTCCTTCGCCTCCCCGGCCCTTCGCGAGCGAATCTCGACGCGTTCTCGTCCCGCTCCGATCTCGGTCGACGGTGGCCACCGTATGGATCCCGCGGGACCTTCGCGGGACGCACCGTGTCGTTTCCACGGGCCCACGGCTTCGCCTTCGTCGACTCCGAGGCACGTGGGTCTCACCGCCTCGCGTTCTGCTCGCGGTACGCGGTCTCGAGACGAGAACGGCACCGTTCGTACCGGAATTTTCACTCATCGATATCGTTCACGATGGAAATTAACACGTACGTACGATGATTAGTCGTAAAAAAAAATAAATAAAATGCCTTCGGGCCGGAGGGCGAAGTCAGACCGGAACCGCCTCGGTAGCCGACGCGTCAACTCTTTCGCAAGCAAAAATTTCAGGGAAAAAAAAATCCCTTGCTGCGTGTGTTTTTAATTTCAGAATAAATTGCAATAAGATACATTTGACATTAATGAACGCGATTAATACGATCGTTAAGAAATACTCCTGCCATCAGTTGGCAGCGAGAAACAACTACAAGCAGTGATGATACGAAGCGATTCTGGAAATAAACCACCGTGCTGCCTCGAAACGACATCACGAACGGGTGGTTCGTTCATCGTACCACCGTGCTTCGATACGTTAAAAGGCGGTGGTACGATTTTCGTACCACCGACCGCTAAAGAGTTAATTAAAGCCTGCGCCGGAAAAAAATTCCCAGTCTTCCGTGCAGGACTCTAAAGACTCGACTTCGCTCGAGACTCCTGAGAGAGAGAGAGAGAGAGAGAGAGAGCAAGTGAGAGAGCGAGAGAGAGAGCTTCCCGAGAGGGCATTCCCGTCGTCGTTCGTCTGCACGGAGGAAGACCCTCTCCCGAGAGAGCGTCTGTGAGTCCCGTCGAGGCGATAATCACCGAAATTCGAGTCGAGGACGCGAACGGAAGAGGTCGTCGGTCTCGAGCGAAAACGAGCGAGGTGAGAGACGCGTAGGAGACGCGAGAAGGGTTTCGGGGATGGAAAAAACGACGGGAGGAAAAAAAAGTGAGACTCGAGCGCGAAACGACACGCGAGACAGGGAAGGGCGCAGAGAAAAGACACCCGAGCGGGCCTAGGACGGGCGGTATGGCACCATCGGCAGGTTTGCAAGCTGCCGACGTCCAAAGAAAAACGTGCAGAACGAATAATAATATTAAAAAAACCAGAAGGCGCACGGGACTCGGCAACTCGTTCTCGACGGCAATAGGAATAAACGATAGCCGTCTCGATGCATCTATCCATGCATGGATGTGATGACATCCATCGAGAGTTGGAGGCACGGTAGACTTTATTTCCTGCGTCGCGAAGGTCACACCTCCCTCACTCGCCCCCCGATCGCAGGCGAGAGATCGATGGAAGAGGGATCGGGATCCTTGCCCCGATATTGCCCCGATCGAGGCAAGAAACGTCACGAGTGAAACCTCCGTCCGATCAGGTCCGATCGCGGCGAGAAAACATTCAATCCGTCGGCACTCTCATCCTCCATCCCATCCGTCCCCACCTCCATCCCATCCGTCCCCACCTCCATCCCATCCGTCCCCACCTCCATCCCATCCGTCCCCGTCCCTCGAGAGCATCGATTTACTGTCGATATTCGAAGTCGATACGTGGTCGTTTTGGAAAGACCCAGCGCGACGCTAAAGAAAATAGAAGACGGCTTCTCGATGGGTTTCTGGATAAATATCGGATGCGACGGTTCCTCGCTTTTTCTTTTCGCGTCGCGATAGGTATCCTCGTATCGGCTCCGGTACCGGCCGATCGATGCGAGGACGCGATCGGTCGTCGGTAGAGCCCCACTTTGAACCCTTTCGGTCCTGGCGGAACTCGAGAGTCCCACGTGCTCTTTTCCAGATTTCGCCTGGCCGTATCGAAGAGCGGGACCTCGAGGCGAGGCGGGACGAACGAGTCCCCGTCACCTCCATTCGAATCGATATCTTTGCGGTCGATCG